TACCCAGTGAAGTGGTGGAGTCTCCATCCTTGGATGTTTTGAAGACCCAGGTAGACAAATCCTTGGCTGGGATGATGTAGTTGGAGCTGGTCCTGCTTGGAGCGGGGGGTTGGACTAGATGTGACCTCCTGAGGTCTCTCCCAACCCTCATTTTCTGTGATTCTGTGATTTTATGGATAGGCAGTTATGAGCAGCAGGAGGTTTTGAAATTGTTAGAAAATTCTGTAGCAAATGCATACTTGGGAATTCACGTGAACTTATTAGTATTCACCAAATGCCTGGTGGGCCACTCTGGTTCTAAGTGGTTAGAAACTTATTTGACAGGGCTTGCGGGGTCTTTGTGGTCCAGTAGCTGAACAGCTTCAGTTCAGGAGGGTTACAAATTAAGCCCATGGAGTGCTTGATAGTACTTGATTTGAACATAATGAAAAGAAATGAAAGATTAGGTATGGATTCAGGAACTGTAGAAAAGTAATCTCTCAGTCAGAACTTTTTTGTTGAGAACAAAGATTACATTATTAAGCATTCAATGATCAATACACATTACAGACTGTTTTCATTGCACTTTAAGCGTGTACACTAATAAATTAGTTTTTAATTGCATGATCACATACTATTTTTCAAATACAAGCTGCTGTGTACACATTGAAGATCATGGCCAAACCTTTTTGTTGTTGTTGTTTTTTAAAGTTTGTATAATAAAGCATGCAGACTCAAGGATGGCTTTTAATACAATTTGCAATATCAGCTCTAATATCTTGGGGCACTTTTACACGTGTGGGGGAGGAGAGGGATGGCACTTTAATTAGAGTGGCTTCAAGAGCTGCTCTAATTAATGTGCCACTGCATCTCCTGTATCGGTGTCCCTGCACTTAAAAATGGAGGCAGGGGTGCTTGGACTACAGCTTGTTTGACGAGCTTTAATTCAGGCACACCCGCCATCATTTTTAAGCACTGGGGCACTGATACACAAGACGCAGGAGGCCGCTGGAGTGCAGCAGTTGCCACACCTGGTTTATCTCTTCACACTTTCAGTTCAGACTTCAAAGGATCTCACTACACCCCTGAGTGCCCCATCACCCTGGTTGAGAATCACTGAATTAACTGGATTATATATGGATCAAGTATGGCAGTTACTGTCCCAGGGTTTGACTTTATCACCTGCAATTTTTTAATAGAGCAGTCCTAAAAGTTGGAAGAAGAGAGAAGCAGAGAAAACTGTACATAAAGGCCTTTCTGCCACCCTAAGCTTCATTGCTTTTAGGTAATGCAGATAATTAGGATCTGTAACTTGCCAAGGAAGAGAATAAATATTAATGAAAGAAAGTGTCATAGATTCTAGTAGTTGTTTTTCTAAGCTGGCACCACAAAGGAAGGGCTACGGTCTGCGAATTTTTGCCTGTTTGGATTCTCTTTGCAGACAGGGAATTGTGCATGTATTATATACATATATATCATACCAAGATTTTTCTGTATATATTCTATATACCTTTTACATTCCGTGTAAGCAGATAATTTAGGAAAGCATGGCAACAGTTTGTTAGTGACACAATTATTTTTCCCATACAGCTGAAAGAAATGAGGCCGCCAGCTTGCTGAATGTGTGCTTGGACCCTTGTTTTTTTTCCTAGGCCGCATAATAGCATGTCTGTGAAGGAAACCTCCGTCAGCGCTGTGTAATTCCTAATGTTGAAAACATATAACCTAGTTCAGCTTCTCCTTGATGTTGAGTTCCCCCCAGGCTTTGCCATCATCTCTTTACGCCTGGACTAAGTCATTCTCTCTGGTGGTGGGAGCTGATACGTGTGAGGTGTTTTCGCAGTTTGCAAATAGAATATACATCTACAAATTTTCTGGAAGAAAATCCAAGGTGCAGCGCTGACCTGGAACCCTGCAGAGTTTTATAGGCTCTGAGTTGCTCTTTTCCGCCTGTCGCTAGCACACCCTTGACCTTGGAAAATATTCTTCTTTCTGAAACAAAAGATACCCTCTCCTATCCTATCGTGTAGGACAGTCATTGTTCCTTAGCTGCCTGGCTGACTTTTGCCTCCTTGTTAGGGAGCTGCTTAAATCATGGTTTTGCAATTTTTGTGGAAACCGTGAAAAATGGCAGTTCTGCTATTACCGTGAAAAATGGTGTTTCCCATGATATTGACCCCCAAAAAAGCTTACTGGAATTCAAAGAAAGTGCAGCAATCCTTGCAGCCACATAGAGCGTGCAGTTTGAGAGAGCGACTGAGCTAGTGACGTGGACTCAGTGAAGGTGCAGGTCAGGAAGGCATAGGGGTTTCGGTGCTATCTTTTAAAAAGCCAGGTGCAACGGTGTGGTCTGAATGATTGGCTTCTTGGCCCATCAGCGGCGAGGGGCAAGGCCGCCCAGGGCCTCTTGGCCAGTCAGGAGGGGGGGGTCTCGCCATGAAAATACCGCAGAATTGGCTCTGTGCACTGCGAGCAGCCCGTGAAAATCCCTTTGTCTTGCCATGGTGTGACCCTACTTATAATAGTCTCTTTGCTAAGCCTGGAAAAGTTTGTATGAGGGCAAGTGCAAATTTCTCTCCTTTCTGCTAACACACCATTTAAATTGTCATAATTTTTGGTCAGAGTAAAATACTGAGACTTAGTCACCTGTGGAGGGAGGAAAGCATCTCGCTATAAAGGCAGCCCCAGTCTAGAATGGGCTCTTCCTCTTCATTTCCTTACTTTTGGTCATTATCTTGCCTTCCTTGTTAAGGCCCTACAGCTCCAGTTCCCTACTCTGTGGCATACGAGGGACCTGCGCCTTATCCCATGGAAAGCAGCAGGAGTCAGGAAAAAGGTCCCCTAGGCAGTAAGCTGGCATGATTCTTCCCATAGTGGGTTTATTTTTCTCTAACCAGATCACTTTGGTCCCTTCTTCAGAGGGCCTCCATATAGCTCTGTTCTCCTTGGCGGGTCTGCTTTTAATCCAGAAGTCAGGTTTTTAAAAAAATATATTCATGATGTACTTGTAAAAACAGGAATGTGCCTGACAAAAAGGCCTGAGACATGCTTCTAGATACAGTATGAGCACTCAGCTCATTGTGTGTGGCAGAAAAGTGTCCTAAGAGGTGCTCTGGGAGTAGAAAATCTTTGCCTTGCACCTCTGTTTCTGTCAAAGCTTTGTCCCTTTGTCATTTTTTTCTCATTTCCCATCAACACCGAAATAGCCGTGTATAGTTGCAGGTTTTCTGGCCACGGAGAGTAAGTGGTAGAAGGGTTCCTCTGAGAGCCTGTTGATGCTATTCCTGACTCGATCGGGATGAGCACTCCAGAATGACATTGGATATGGTTGCAGTTTACTCCTGGCCTCCATAGCTCCTCCGGGTCTGTCCTGCCCTAACGGTAAGGACCATCTTGGCAGTTATACTGAGATCTCCCATGTGTGCAGCGTGATGCATTTCTCATCAAGCTCCAAAGCCCTATCGCAGAGAGTGCATGTTCATTTACTGGTGGCACAAGGTCACCTTCCCTTGTTGGAAGCACTCCATCTCGCACAAGGCCCGGAGGTAGCACGGCTAGTTGGAGCTGGTAAATCCTAGCAGGAAAACTTCACACAACAGAGAGTGTGGAGTTGGATTGATGTTGCTTTTTTGCTCTGTCCTGCATTTTACAAGAGATGAAAGAAACATCAAGTCCAGATGTGTTGTAAGAGCATACCATTTTGAAAGCGGATAATTTGCAGCCGTGATTCAGAGACCTCTGAGGGGTTATGAAAAATTGCAGATAACTAACTCGTGATGCAGAAGGTGAGAAGGGAGATGGTGCTTTTTCCGCAAGTGCTTCATAAATTGCAGGGGTTTAGGTTGTAGCTGTGGTGGTCTAAAGACATAGGCAGACAAGGTTCCTTGGGTGAATTTGATATCTTTTATTAGACCAACCCAAATTGCAGTATCTTATGCCTCACATGACCGCTGAAGTTTTTGTCTGAAAGATGGTCTAGTTGCAGTGGTCTCAAGTTGCAGCAAGGGAAGTTTAGGTTGGATGTTAGGAAAAGTTTTCTCATTAGGAGGGTAGACACCGGAACAGGCTCCCCAGAGAAGTGGTGGAGTCTCCGTCCTTGGAGGTCTTGAAGACCCAGGTAGACAAGGCTTTGGCTGGGATGATCTAGTTGGGGCTGGTCCTTTTTGGAGCAGGGGGTTGGACTAGATGTGACCTCCTGAGCTCCCTTCCGCCCTCATTTGTCTATGATTTCTATGATAGCTATGTAGAGTATTTATCTAATTTTAATCCACAGTTTTACAGGAGTGGTACAGAAGAGGGAGACACCTGACCAGTATTACTGATATTATGGGTTCATTATTAAAGCTTCAGTTTAATTTAGTCATAAACACAGGATGATAAAGAATCTGAATTGTGTAGGAGAAGCATCTGGTTCAAATACTGGTTTTAATGGCAAAGTGAAGAGACTGTCAGCCAAATACTGTTCTCTCTCAGCCCTCCCCAGTGAATCACTCCTTTTCAGACTATTGTAAATTCAATTCTGGGCTTCAATGCCTTGCTGTCCCTTTAAAGTAATAGGGGCCCCAGCCTGAATGTGTAATGCATGTATTCTATTGGTGCGGTTACTCTTGGAACAAGGGAAAACGACCTTTCGGTTTCCTTGACGACTTAGAACTTTCTTTTCGAGTGATGTCAGGAAAACAACCCCGCGTTCTTGAACGAAGCATGCATTTCACAGCTGAGTCTGGGGGCTGCCGAGAAGAGGGCCCGTTAACCCTTGCACAGCCACAAACCAAAATAGGGGTTTGTGTTTGGTGGCATTATTAAACCCGCAGGTATTGCAGTCGAAGGGAGTGCCCCCAGTCTGCCGGCAGTAATGGTTTTAGGGAACACATCTCGCATTCCAGTTTTCTTTAGCCTCACTGGCATTGTCCGGTGGGTGAGTTTGCATGTGAAATTCTTCGTGGGACAGTAGCCTCTCAATGGCTTTTTTTTCTTTTTTGGTAAGTGGTTACAATTTTTTTCTTTCTTCCTTTTCTCAGAATAGGAGGTTGGAGAGACACTTCATACTGAATTAAAATATTTTCTAAAGCTGAGTGCGCTCCAGGAACCATCACCCAAATGTTTCTCTGCCCGTGGAGGTTTCGTATTTGAAAGAATATTTCTACGAAAGGTACAGGTATTTCCTCTTTAAACTAAAAGTTGTTACCTGTGATGTACAACCGTATTATGCATGCCAATACTGAGAGCAGATAAATGGTACCTGATCTCTAATACCTAGAGGTAGGTAAAGAGGAAGGGGGTGATGGCAGGAGGGATCTACCAGTGAGGTTCAGAAGCAGGCACTTACGGTGTCTGCTAGAGTGCTGTCCGGCTCTTTGTGACCAAATTCAGTTGGGAAGCATCTGATTAAAACCAAAGCCCCAACTCTGCATGTGCAGCTGCTGAAAGGGAGATGAAGCCCTTTCCCAGTGGGTGTCTGTCCCTGGAGCAGTTTGGAGCTGTTCCAAGAAGCAGCAACATGAAGCTTGCATGATTGAGTTTCACTGTTGCCCAGGGTTTTGTATAGCAGTTGTGAAAACCTTCTTAGGCTTGATCATTTCACTCTGCTGTTTCTTGGCAAAGCCCTGAACAGGATTAGTGCAGGTAGCAGGGCTGACTGACTTGGGGAAATGACAGCACATTTATTTACATTTGATTCAGTCTTGAATGTTTCCTTCACAGTTGTTCGAGACGGTTCTAATTTGTACAACTGGGCTTTATGAAGCTACTGGATTTACTTGATTAGAAAATGAGGTTTCCCACCCTTTTAATGTTGGGGGGAAAGTCCCTCACCTTCCAATGGGGGTGGGGAGTGAGAGGAACAGGGGAAGGGGGAATTGGGGCAGCCTGGGGGGGGCAGTTGTAGTAAGACAGAATCATTCAGATAAAATATATTTTGAATTTAGCAGATGTCATGTCTCTAGATGTATAAGAAAAGCAGCCGGCATCTACAGAAAGGGGGAGTTGCATCCTGACTCTGAAACTCTTGTAGGGACCGTAGTAGATAAGCCATTCCATGCAAGCTCTGATTGCAAAGCTGTGGCAAAGAGGGTGAATGTGGTCAGTTTCCAGAAACAGAAGCTGTGTAATAAGTTCCCGTATTTTTATTAACTTAAAGGCAATTGCCTGCGTGGGTGCAGAGATGATTTTACAATCTGAATAAAGTCTGCATAGACCAGTGGTATCTGCCAGAATCTGCACAATGCCTGAAAAAGTTAGTTTGCTGTCCCAGTCCTCTCAGCCAGGGCCCCGGGAGATCCCTTCTAGTTGAGGAACTGCAGCAAGATCTGGCACAGTTGAGCAAAATGGGCAACTAAATGGCAGATTAAATTTAATGTAGAGAAGTGTAAAGTGATGCACCTGGGCAAAAATAACCCAAACTACCTATGGTGTCATGGGCTGTACATCATCTGTTACTGGAAGGAGATCTGGGAGTCATTGTGGGCAGTTCACTAAAACCATCAGGTCGGTGCTCAACAGTCATCAAAAAGATAAACAGCATGTTAGGGGTTATTTAGAAGGGAATCGTAAGAAACATGGACAGTATCATGATGCCCTTTTATAAATCCATGGTGCATCCATGCCTTGAAGCCTGTGCCCAGTTCTGGTCCCCACACCTCCAAAAGGAGAGAGAAGAACTAGAGAAGTGCAGAGAAGGGCCGCAAGGGTGAGGGGCATCCGTTTGAGGAAAGACTAAAGAGGCCAGGCCTGGTCAGTTTAGAAAAGAGATGCTTAAGTCAGGACAGGAGAAGGGTTTACAACACACTAAATGGTGAAGAGGAAGTCCCTAGGGATTTATTACTTACTGTTTCTCACAATACAATAACCAGGGGTCCCAGCATGAAAGCAGTAGGCAGTGAGTTTAAAACTAACGCCAGGAAGTTCTTTTTCACGCAGCGTGCAATTAAAGTGCGGAACTCGTGGCCACCAAATGTGGTGGAAGCTGAGAGCTTAGCCAGATTCAGAAAGGGATTGGACCCATTCTTGGAAAGAAAGGGGCTTCAGGAGCTATTTTATGTGGGAGTGAGGGGCATGGCCTCTGAATCGGAAATTCCTAGACCTTAAATGCTGAAGGCTGCAAGTGCCAGAGAAACAGTGTGGGGGAAAAACCCTGGTCAGACCCAGTTCACTCTCCCATCTGGCTTCTGCCGCCATGTGACACCGGAGACTGGACAAGATGGACCTACAGTCTGACCCAGTAAATGGCATTTCTTGTGTTCCTGGGTTCCCGTGACCTGTGCTGTTCTGTCTGCAGAACTTGTCATTTTTCCAGAATGGTGTAATTCAGCCTTTTTGCAGCAGAATTTGCTGTATTTCTGCTGCCACGCAAGAAGATACTGGGTCTCCCTGAAGGGACCTGGTTGTAGCCGCCTTTTGCTCTCCTGTTTTCTGTACAGTGGGAGTTAACGGGATTACAGTGCATGCTCCATGCTCTGTGCTGTAGTCAGGCAGGAGAGGGTTGAGGAGCCAGGGCTTGAGTCCAGATTGCAGTCAGGGAACAGGAGTCATCGGAAG